GTGGTCGCGATGCGGGGGGTGGTGAGGGAGCTGCCAGGGGCGCGGGTGGAAGGGAGGGAGGATGGCGGAGGGAGAGGGCTCAGGGCCGCTCCGGGCTCAGCATCGCGGGCTGAGGGATGGCTGGTGGTGGCAGGGAACGGGGGAGGTCTTAGACCGCGGATCTAACTGGGATCTTAATTCCCCTCTGTTTTCTGCTTTCTTTTCAGGTCACGAATCAGGTAAGCAGCTTTTATTTGAAGTAACCTTTAGTCTTTCTGCAGCTTTAGGCCCATCTCCTTTCATTTTCCTGTAGTAAAGGCTCTTGCTTCTCCAGCGAGAGCAGCCCCTTCCTCCCACACGGGTGTCTGCTCTCAGTCTTCTAATATGGGACCGAACTGGAAGCTCCTCGGAAACCTCCGAGTACATAGTATCATGGTAGCATATACATGAAAGAAAAAACAGTAAAGGAAAAGAGAATAGGTGTGATGTGGCTATTAATGTAATGTAATCTCTAATGTTTTTCAAGATAGGTTTTAATTCATTAATTAATGACTAAAACATTATTATATATTTATTTATAATGTGTGCTAGTTCTGGACCTATACATGATGATTTTGTGCAATTGTGTGGATCTGCTTACATCACTGTGCTGCAATCTCTTTTATTCTTGGCTTACCATAAGAAATAATGTTACTTCACCACATTTGCACTTTGCTGCTTATTCGTGACAGTATCTGCCTGATATGTTGTTGCTGTTTTTGTTAGCATAGTAGAATCCACACTGGAGAAAGAAAGCTTGTTCTAGTCCACAAAACAATGTAAGTGCTAGGTAAACTCTACCTGAAAGGAAACCACACATACACCAACGCTGCATCATGGTCTCAGTCATAATTTTGAGTATCTTTAACAAGCATTAGAAGTCAGATGTTGATCCCAGCAGTCCTGTTGATAATGTTATGGACGGTCTTTAAAGCTAAAAGACTCTGAAGCTCCCAGCAGTAAGATGACATTCTTAAAACTATATTGTTGAAATATTTTGGAGATTAGGAATTTCTGTGTGTGAACATATTTTTTTGTTGTTGTTGCTGTAATATACTAACTGAGTCTGCAGGAGAGTGAAGGGTTATTTCATGCTGGGTCATTTTGTATTTGGCTTTATAGTTTCCTAGGACAAATAATTTTACAATTCTTACAGTATTGCTACTGTGGAGCAATTTGAGAAGTTTTTAATCCCAGTCCTGAGTTAACAACCTTTCCTGGGAATTTTTCTGAAATGTGTGCTATGATTTCCTCACGTTTTAGTTTTTTTTTTTATTTTATTTTTTTTATTATTTTGAAATTCAGAGACTAAATTCCAGTTTGGAAGGAAATAGCTGTGAATAAATGACTATTAGAATTTCAAATTCTCTCATTTCATCTCAATTTCCAGATGTTGAGATGAGCTCATCATAGTACAAATAAAGTCCTGTCATCTGTAAGGTAGAAACTGAGGAAGAAAAACTAGTGACTTTTTTTTATCTGAATTATCTTATGTCACTACATGTTTATGTTATATGGAGAAAATCCTAAAAGAATGTTAAATGAACAGTTCTAAGTGTGTTCAAAATCTGTCTCTCTTGCCCATTGGTGTTGCTTTGATGATGGATGATATCTATCAATTGTGAATGATCATGGGTTGTAGGAACTTTTACTCTACAAGGATTTTCTTGTTAATATTTCTGTACAGAAAAGGCCACTTTAGACCAGTTAGTCTTCCTCCTTCACTATATTTTGCTAGTCTTAACTGAGCAGTGGTGGTTATTATCTAGACTGAAGTGTGTATTTAAAAAAAAAAAAGGGAAAAAAATGGTCAGTGTTGAATATGAATACACCTTGCGTTATTAGTCATTGTTCTTTTAAATCTCATCGGTACAGTGGTAAATTGTGTAACAACAGGGCTGTTAGTCACAAGTTATTAATATCCTGCTTATGTTTAAAACAACAATAATAGTAATTAAGTTAAGATTCAAATGACATTGTGAACACATTTTTAAAAGAACTCTGAGTTAATTGCAAGGGCAGACCTTTTTCTGGTACTATGTGCTGTACTTTGTGAAATATTCTGGAATTCTTCGGGATTAAAAAAAAAGGTATGCCCCTAATAGCTGTAATATATGCGTTGAGTAGTAGTTTAGTACATGTATCTGTTTCTACAGACATCTAGCCATGTGTTTCTTGGTGTGTGTGGTGTTTTTTTTTCTTCTTAAAATTGTATTTTATTTGTTTTACTTGAGTGTTAGGCTATCCTTGGAACATATTACTTCTGTTAGTATTAATGTTATTGCTAGGTGTGGCAGTGAACTCTTAAAACCAAAAAAAATTCGAGTGACCTGTAACATGCGTGGATTATTAACTATTAGGTCGTAGTCAGAACTGTCATTATGATTTAACAAATGCTTAGCCTATTTTGGTTATTGTACCAATCATTTCATTCCCTTTTTTAATAGTAACTAGAAAGGAAATGTACTAAATGCAGGTTCATTTGCTTTTAATACGTTCTTACCATACTGTGTGCGCTCTAGTTTTGACATGTAAATTTTAAATTTGAGACTCTTTCGATCTTTGTGGTAGAAACTCAGATGATAATGGAGAATGACTGGTATTTCTCAGTTTTAGGGTATGTGAAATCTTTCCAAAGCATCTTGAAAGTTTTTCCCTATCTGAAAGCATTTCTGTTATAATACAAGTCTAGGAATTTCTAAATCCTTAGTGGATATCGGACCTCTCTTTGTGCATATATATTAGAATTTAAAGGTTCAGAAACTGGCTGGTGAGGGTAAACAGGAATATTCTTTCTTAGTTTTAGAGATTTCCAGTGGGAGTGACTCACTTGGAATACCACAGCCGTGTATCTGTAGTGATGTTTTTAAGAGAGGAGTCAGCATAGTTACATGTACCATACGGTGCTAATTTAATTGTCACAATACTTTTTTTTCCCTTCCACTTCTACAGTCTGATAGAATGAATTGTTAGTCCACCTCTGATACAGAAAGAGTTGATAATTAGCATTTACAAAGCTCCACTTTGTGCACAGTGATGACAGGGAGTGGTTTCTTCTCTTTGACCTTCAGCTGGGGGGCCTGACATCATTAGTGCTATCCTTCTTCCTGAATCTCTTAACAAGACTTTCCGCACTAGTGGGAGAGAGAAAGCAAGAAAATGGGGTTTATCTGCCCACTGTTTACCAGATGACGTTTGGCTGTGTATCTTGTTCTCAATTTCTTCTCCCACCAAAAAAAAAAACAACAAAAAAGAAAAGACTGCATACAGATTTTTGGAGTGAAAAGATCAGACACAAGCTGATTGTTCTTCATCATGATGTCGCTTCAGCCTGGCTTGCAACCCACAATTGATTCCCTAGCAAACGTAGATAAACAAAAAAGTAGTATTGGTAGATATCTTCCTTGATCTCACGCATTCTAAGAAATATCCTCACTTCCTAGGTAAGGTACCATATCAACTCATGCTTTTGTTATATCCAGGTAAGGATAGAGTAATTGACTGCATCTAATTACGAAGCTCAAGCACTGGCTTCAGGTATTTCAGAGTTAAACTATTGAGAGCTGGGTGTGGCTTGGGTTTTTCTTGCCACATAGCGCTTACTTGCCAGTTCTTAGTTACCTTCCAGCATTACTTTCAGGCCTTTGATCCTACTTTTTTTTTCTTTTCTTTTTTTAAAGCTGTTAAGGTACTGAGAGTCAGCTACATAAAGAAATTAATTTTAGTCCATGGACATACTTGACAGCTGTGACTTTAAAGTCACAGGGGCAATAAAGATCACAAAACATAGAACAAATGGCAGAAACTGGATACAGCCAGTGTTCACCCAGTTATGGAACACATTTCTTAAGGGTGTCGGGCAAATACAGAGATTAATTAAGTATCTCAAAGAAACAAACTTTACTCTTCCTAAAAGGTCTTTCCATTTTGTGAACTCTGCAACACTCAATCACACACGCTTTCGCAAAAGAAAGCTCTACTGATCAAAGTAATTAAAAAGGCAGTGCCTACGATTCCTGAAGTGTATTGAGTGGTAGTACTCGTAGGTGAGGAGTGAAAGGATGTCGGATGTGAAGAAACAGAGATGTCCTTCTGAAAATGCTTAGCTAAGCTTACTTTTTTTTTTTAATTGGGAAGTGGAGGAGTGAAGTTTAACTCTCCTGTTGTAAGCAGAGTGGAAACAGCAGAGGTATTGTGCGTGCTTGTAAAACAGCCTGTTATGAGCGTAGCCTCAGAAAGTGGAAGACCAGGACTCAGTTTGTGTCTTTCTGTAAAGAGAATACCCCAGAAAGCCTTCCACAGAGCCAACAAAGGGGAAGTGTTGAGGCTGTGGCACAGCACAGCAAAGAATAAGCACAAGGACAAATATGAAAGGATTGCAGATGTCCACTGTGAGATCACTTGTTGAATAGCTTCTTCTAGTTTAAAATATCTCAAGCTATATAGACCTCTTACTGAGTTTATGGTAGGTGGATATGTTGCAAAGGGAAAATTGTAACTTGTTTTGGGGATTAGAGCATTATTTATATGAATAGTTGAAAGATTGGCTTAGATCTGTCTTTGTATGTTCATCAGTAATTGAAAGCTGAGAAAACCATGTCTTTCATTCCTCTATTTGTACTTGCCACTTCTGGCCTTTTATTATGCTCTTCTTTGCTCAGTTTCTTATTTCTGTTTCAATGACCTAACCTAAAAGTTGTAACAAGGAAGCCCTTACTGTCTCAAACACTGTTTAAGTGAATGGGGTGCTACAGAGTGGAAAACAAGTGATAGTGGTTTGTGGGGTAGGTTATCTTGTTGCGCTGAAGGTGCTGTTCTCCTGTTTTGCATTTTCTTTGGCTTAAAGGACCATCAGAATCAGTAGAATCCAATTGTTGTTTTAGTACATTGTAAAAATAATATGTATAACAGCTGATTTGGAAGAGTGGATTGATCCAGTTTGTGCACATTATGAATAATCGTGTAGGCCATAGAAAGAAGTCTCTGTTTTTCACAGCATAACGTGGTGTGCCATTTTGAAACAGTGGCTCAGTAGCTGATCCTCAGGACTGTGCTTGGAGCATTCTAAAGCTCTCGCTCGCTGGGGCAGTTTCAGAGGAAACCTGGGTCAGCTGGTTAGCCTGGCTTTCTATGTGCTTTGCATTGCTGCCTGTGTGATGTCCTGGTTCAATATATATGGCAGTGCCTGGGCGTGCTGAGT